CTTCCCTGAGGTTGATTTCAGTGCCTCTGCACCTGTAAAGCTTCACAGTTTTGGACACTTTACACAGCATAGCTATGAGTCAGAATTGACTTGATGGCTGCTGGTTTTGTTTTGTTGGTGGTGCCACTACCAGGTTTGTGCTTCTGACTCACCAGCCGCTCCTCAGAAATGCTATCCAAAGTTGTTATGAATCGAGATCAACATTGGCAGCACTTAAACATTACTCTTAGTGGGAGTGCAGTGGCTCTGTAGGATAAACACTGGACTGTGAACCACAAGGTTGGTAGTTTGAGCCCACTATCTGCTCCTGCAACTATCTATAGCCTCGGAAACACTATACAGGGTCACCATGAGTTAGAACCCACTCCATAGCACATAACAGTAATTACTTGAAGTGCAGGTATCTGCTGATCTTCTCCCCAGCACTGCTGTTCACTAGCCATGTCCCTGGCCCTCATCCTCAGGTGAAGGCAGGAACCCTATCTTCTTGTCATTTCTTCATAGTAGATAGTCACTAAATGCTTATTAAATGAGTGATAAGTATATATCAAGTGATAAGATTCAAATATGTGACTAACCACCTCATAGCCTTCATTTCAACCCTTCTACCCAGTAGCTGTTGTTCCACTAAAGGGAAACACTGTTCACCTGGGCAGCTTCTGGTTTCAGAGTTCAGCATACTTCCTCAAACTTAAAAAGATATTTTAAGAAAAACACAGAAGTCAGTCTCACATTCTCTGCAAAGCATTTTATGCTAAGCTGAGATAAAATATAGAGAGAAGCAGCCTCACAACAAACTTGTATTGGTGTAAATTTTCTATTAATAACATCAAATATCAAAATATAATACCAGTACAAGAGAAGTATTTGCATATTTAAAATAGAAAGGAAAAATAACAGTTAATTTTTTTCTCTTTAATGGCTGACAATTTTCACTGGGTTTCTTTAAAGAAAACCAAATTAGAAAGCACATGTCCTCAAGGGACTTTAAGAATTATAATTTAGCAGAAAAATAAAGAAAAAGGAAAATGTTGAAGGGCTTTTATTTTTAAGTATGTGCAGTGTCTATATATATATATTAAACAGAAAAAAACAAACATTTAAATTCAAAAGTGAATGTATTTTACCACAAGACCTTGTCACATTTTAAATAGCATAGTAAAGTGCAGATAGTTACAATTTAGCATAAACAACTGACCAGTCACCATCTAGTTACCTGTTTCTCTAAGTGTGACTCTTGAAGTTTTATTAAGATGAGAGCATCCAAGATTAGCGGCATGCCATCACTAAGCAAAGGGAGTTCAATTTGTCATCAAGCTGGATCTTCATTTTAAAAGTAAAAAATAAAATTCAAAATTAGAATCAGGAATTGCCACACATAGAATGAAGGTAGAAGAAAGATTACTGTGCTGGGCTGACAGCTTAAAAAAAAATCTTTACCTACCTTGAAATGTCCTCTGTCCTTTATATTTCTGTTTAACTTTAAAAAAAATCCGACAAAAAGATAAAATGACTTAAAGAATATAAAGTGATTGACATTGCCTCTAAGGAAAATGCTATGTAAATGGGAAGTGTTGAAAAATCATTCCTAAAATGGCAATCAATACTACTACTAATCAACAGTGCAGAAGCCAGCTCTTTATTTGTTTAATCTTAATAACTTTAAACCAGATTTGTTCAACAGTTCAGTGTAGCTGACAGTGAATGTTTAACAGGAATGCATAGCAAACCTTGTTAAAATGTGGCATTGTCCCAAAGTACAATATGACTAAGCAGTCCTACAGGTAGCAGCACCTTGTTGTAACAGTAACTTACATGAGCAATAGAGAAAGGGGCATAGGAAAATCTGGAATGGGTACAAAAACAAAACAGAACAAACTATTACGTACATTTCCAGCATTTTCTAGGTTGACTATAAAAATCATGATTCCACAATTGAATATGTTAAAAATTAAGCCTTTGCTGTGTGAAAAGATTATAATTTTACATTCTGAAAATCAGTAACTATCCCATTTTGTTTGGAATTATTCACGTAACATGTTTAATACACTGTTCACTCATATGACCACGTACAGTTTTCACATAGTTGCTTTTATGTCAAATCCTGTAAGTTTTGAGAAATCCTCTGATTGGGACTAACATGTTCCATAGTAAAGTGAGACATTAAGAATCCAAGCACATACACACAAATGGACTCTTCTCTACTCTTAGAATTAATGATAGCAGCAAGTAAGATCAATACTATTTACACTTCACAAACTTAAATATTCCAAGGTCATTAATTAGAGTAAAATATGTAGGAAAGGACAGGGCTGGTGATCAACATCTTAAGTGAACAATATCTTACTGTACAGGAGTTTATCAGAAATATTTTATAAAAACTGTTTGGTGATACAGTTTTCCAATGTTGTGAACATGTGTCAAAAATGAACATACTCTACTATTTTTAAATTCATGTGAATAGAGTGAATTAGCAAATGATTTATTATGAGGGAAATTTTCATAGATTAGCTTAAGAAACACCAAGTACTGAAATCATTTAAAAAAATCTCGAGTTTTCTCGTGGGTTGGGGTAATGAGCAGTTAAAATGTAAAAACAATTTCACTAAGTTTCAAGCATGTTTGGCAAAAATCTGGAATAATCAAGGAAGTAAAACAAAAAAATTGATGATTCTAATTATTTTGTTAAGTAAGTTAATGTACATATCTGAAATTAGGCAATTATAGATAGGTATTTTCTAAGGGTAAACTTCAAGTGCTAGATACTTGCACACCTAATACTGTTTTCCCTATCCAGTAATAACTGGATAAAACGTACACTTTAACAACATGGAGAATGTTTAGCCTTAATATAATTGTGAGTCTCTTATAGCTGTATAGTTAAGATATTAAAGATAGTATCTTCTGAATTCCTCTTTAGAATACATATCTGATACAGAGAAATATTCTAGGGCTTTGAACCATTTCTTCTTAGTTTAGTCATGGCAGATGAAGCAACACTAAAACAAACCTGAATTAGTAAAATATGGGTATAATAGAAAGATAACCAGAACAGGAGAAATCACAGGCTGACAACTGCCTAGAAACTTAATCTCCCACCTAGAAAACAAAGATAGCGTGTGCATTGCATAGCAACCAAATCTTGATTGGCAAAGTCAGAAACAGTGGTGGTACCCAGCTCAAAATTAGTGGCTGAACACATTGTTTTGAATTTGTGTTCTCCACAGTCCTGGCAATCACCCCATTTCCTGTATATCCCATTTGAACCTGAAAGGGTTCAAAACGCTCCTGCATCTCTCACCCCAGGACTTGTAATTTTTCCCATTATGGTTGTTGGTCTGGTATGCTCACATTTCACCAACATGGTCTATTCTAATGTTGCTGCGTTGGCCATGACAGAACTGGTTTAAAGCCATGAAATATTCGTAACATTATTCACTTCAAGTTACCGCATTTTGCCCTGATTACCTCTGAAGAGCAGAAACTTTGGTTATAAGAAGCACTTCTGGGTTTCAACGGACAATTAAAATCATTGGAGTTGGTAGGGCTGGCGGGGGAGGGTGAGGGTGATCAAAAACTGGAAGATAAACAAGAGGAACAATAGGCAAGGTTAGAAAATAAAGTGGGAGAAGTTATAAAAATTTATTTTCCCACAAAATAATTCCACAAGCTATGTAAACTTTTCTTACTAAAACAAATACTCTAACAAACAAAGATTGTACATTTCCAGTGAAACACTCACAGTAAAAGTTGCCTGTATTTTCACTCTCTAGGAGCAAAAATGAGGAGCCAGCAGATGAATGCTTTCCTAGTTACCTTTGGCAGCAAACGTCCTTACATTCCCTGACTGCTCAATGGATCAATAAAGCAACAAGTAGCATAATTACATAAAAAGCCAGCTGGACAGAATTTCAGCAATCATCTCATCTACATTAGTCTTCAGCAGTCAGATTCATCTCAACCAGCCACCAGTGCAGACTCGTTCATACATACGCATGCACACAAATAATGCCAGCTCGTAAACTCCAGTGCTGTGACTACAAGAGACACTCGCTACTAAGGATGTGTTTGTCACCATCAGTGTGAACTATAGATTAGAACAATTTCTGGAGTTTGGTTATATTTACCATAATTTATGGTCAAAGTTATGAACTTACAAGGATGGTATAACATTCAGAAATCAAACCTTTTCAAGTCAAGCAATCACACATATTTACAGTATGTACAGACTTTCTACTACATTGGGGAAAGGTGTCTAGACAATGTTATTACAAATTTCCTGAATGTGGGCATTTCTAGTCCCTGTAATTCATAAAGCAAATCTGCTGACTTGGCATTAAGACTCTAAAATAGTGTGTTCAAACGGATATGTATGTGTGTGTGTATATATGTGTATATGTATATATATATGTGTATATACATATACACATATATACACACACACGTACATATATGTATATACATACATTTCATATATAATTATAAGAAGGTGTTTGCAGAAATAACATTTACAAACTGTCTATACAGTACACAGTACTAGTACATAGAAAATAGATTCTAACTTTATGATCCCTTTTGTGTAAGGCAAGACTCAATCTGTCTTCAAATTTAGTCAGCCAGAGGTACAAGCAAGAGACAGTGGTCCATGAATGAGTGGATATGCAAATCAGGTGCCTACTACATATTAAAACTGGAGAAACAAATTCCACTTTTTGTCTGTGCTAATTCTGGCTTGTTGGATACATCAACTACATTTCTGAAAACATCAGTAAAACTTCTTAAAACACCACCGGATGGCAACAGATTTTGTTCAAGTGGCAGCTACCCAAAACAGTTTTTAAAACTCCAGTGTAAACTGGAGGACTGCAGCTGTACCAGGCTAATTCATATAGCACTTACAGAAGAAAAAAAATAAGTATATTAATACTCTATTTCATGCTATTGCTATTCAAGCAACAGCAATACAAAATATACAATACAGATCACATATGATTGCGATGTAGACCCCCAAAAGATTTTGTTTGGGGATGCTGTTATACAAGACTTCCCCCCCCACCCCCAACCAAAAAAAACAAAAAAGGGCAAAAGTCATTGGCGGATGTACACATCCTTGTTCCACTCCCCAGCCTCATTCCGTTTTTTGGATATTACTTCTCCATCCTTGTCACAATACCGATCCTTTGATTTATGACGACTTCTTTGTTTGTTGCACTCATTGTGGTCCTGCTCTCGATCCACGTCCCTAGAACGATGCCGAAATTCCCTGTGTCTGTGATCACTGCTGCCGTGAGGCTCCTCTCTGTGGTTATGGTCACGGTGTGGGGCATAGTGGTCTGTGTGTTCATGGGAATAATCTTCTTTAGGCTCCACATAGGCAGAGTCTCGACTCTCCTGGGTTTCTGAGTCAAATGTCTCTTGCCTGGAGAAGCCTCGACTTCCACCGCTGCGATGGTTGTGGTGTTGGGCTGAGGAAGAAGAACGATGCTGGGACTTTTTCACTGGTTCCAGACAGGGTTCTTCTTCGGCTTGTGAAGCAGAATGGGCATGAGCAGCAGTCCGCTCAGTTCTCTGATCACCTTGAGAACCCTAGTTGGGCGGCAGGGGGTGGAGAGGGTGTACACAGGCATTAACCAAGCTCATAGTATAGGAGATTAACATACCAAATAGCAAATCCATTCAAGTTTCGTCCCTTTTAAGTATCTAAAACATTGAAATAACAGCTAGCCTAGCTCAATTACTTAATACTTTTGATATTGCCCAAGGGAATTTATAAAGTTTGCTGTTGGTGGTGTTATGTGCCGTGGAATCGGTTCCGACTCATAGTGACCCTGCATAGGGTTTCCAAGGCTATAAATCTTCATGGGAGCAGAAAGCCTCATCTTTCTCCCGCGGAACAGCTGGTAGTTTTGAACTGCTGACCTTGAAGCTCACAGCCCGATTTGTAACCATCATAAAGTTTATACTATATTAAATTGGTTTCTCTATCAATTTATAAATGCATACAAGTGTACACACAATTTTTTGTTGTTGCTGTTACAATTTTTAAATGAAGGAAGGAGGGCATTCTTCCATATGAGGGAGCATCAAAACTCTGGAAAAAGGCTATTTTTACAATTCCATTCTTTCATGAACTTTTTGAAGCCCTCCCTTGTATGTTCTCTGTGGCTCAAATACAGATGCCAATCTCTGAGGGGTTTTTTTAATTGAACACTTTATGTCTGTTTGAATACAAGTGGGATGATTTTAAACAATTAGGTGATTGATTTAAGCTTAGAGAAGGATTAAGAAAAAAAAAAAAAATATATATATATATATATATGAGAAAATTATAACAGCAAGACCAAAATGTTTATAAATGACAGTGTGGAATAGGCACTGCTGTAAGACTTTTACATAGTTAACTCAGTTAATACAGTAGCCCCAGGAGACAGACTGCCATTATTAATCGTGAGGCAAGTAAGCAGTTAGGAAGCTGCTCCAAGTGATGCACTAGAAAGAGGTGGTTTTGAACCCAAGTATTCTGGTCCTAGAGTCTGTGCTGCTGTCTATGTAAGAAATTTCCCAACACGTGTCTTAAAGAGCCTGCATTTAGAGAGTTAAAGTCTATGATAAGGAGCTCTGGTAGCACAGTGGTTACGAATCGGGCTGCGAACCTTAAGGTCAGCAGTTCGAAACTACCAACTGTTCCGTGGGAGAAAGATGAGGCTTTCTGCTCCCATAAAGGTTTACAACCTCGTAAACCCTGTACAGGGTTGCTATGAGTCAGAACCAACTGCATGACCCATAACCATCTCCAAAGTCTATGATCATAGTACAGTCTGTTTACATCACTCCTTAATAGGGTCTGAAGTTGGTGGAATAGCTTTACTTTAAATTAATGTTTTATTAGGCTTTAGGTAACAGTTTACAGTGCAAATTAGTTTCTCATTCAATAGTTTGTACACAGAGTGGTCCATGACATTGGTTGTATTTTCCACAGTGTGTCAGCACTCTCCCCATGTTGGTCCTGGGTTCCCTGTTTCCTTCTGTCCAGATTTTCTATCCCTTCCTGCCCTCTCCTCTTTACTTTAGAGCAAATGGTATCCTTTTTGAATGGTTCTTAATGTTCTAATGAGACTAGAGTGAGAAGACTGGAACAAGCACAGAGTGGATACATGAATGGCTGTGAAACCTCATCTCACGGTTTGGTTCCCACTGGTGTGAAAACTAAAAACAACGTCCTCTTACCTGTGAATTAGAGGCTAGGGTGGGGCTAATAGGCAGAGTTGAAGTGGCTAAAGTACGGCTAAGGAGAGGGTTGGAGAGGTTGCTGCTAGGAGGATGCGTGGCCTTCCAGTAGGCCTCCAGATAGTCGGCAAGGTGCTCACAGGCATCCTCGAGCTGGTTCTCATCCAAGATCACATCAAACAACTCCTACAGAGATAAGCAATTCAAATATCACACTTTCATCAGCCTAGTACTGACTGACTTTCTGCCCTATCTTAACTGTCACAAAAAAGGAGGCAGTGAGGAAGAGATGGAGAGATTTGTGAGCTATATTTGTTCTTACATAATTGCTCCTTGCTCCTCCTTTTTTTTGGCTATTTGCTCTATTTAACCAGATTATAAGTGTATGTCCATTGCAAACCATTGTCTAGAACACTCAGTATTTAGCTAATAAAAATAACCCATAATATGAATACTTATAATATATATGAGGGGGCTTCAAAAATTTCAGGGAAAAATTCCTGTATCGTTTTAATTGAGTCTTTCCAGGAACTTTTTGAAGTCTTTCCTTCGTAGTGTTACAGGTATGATAGATATTACATAAAAGTTACCTGTCAACAATGGATAAACAATTGATGCTACGGTTGAAAAGAGATGTGGGGAAAAAAAAGAGTATAAAATCTGAAGTTTAGAATATTCTATTCTGGATATAATCAATCAGTTGCTTCTAAATGGTTCAACTCATGGTGACTTCATCTGTGCCAGAGTACAACTATAGGATTTTCACTGGTTGAGTTTTCAGAAATAGACCGTTCCTGCCTGAGCCTGTGGGTAGACTAACCAAGCATGTTCACCGTTCGCACCACTGCACCACCCATGGTGACTCTGTTCTGGACACAGAGATTGTAAAAGGCTTAATCATGGAAACTACCGAAGCAAGACTGACCTACTTCCATTGAGTTGATTACAGTTTATAGGAACCTTATAGGAGAGAGGTAGCATAGTGATTATGAATCTGGCTGCGAACCTTAAGGTCAGGAGTTCAAAACTACCAGCTGTTCTGTGGGAGAAAGATAGGCGTTCTGCTCCCATAAAGACTGACAGCCTCATAAGCCCTGTACAGGGTTGCTATGAGTCAGAACCGACTCCACAGCACATAACCACCACCATAGGCGAGAGAATTGCTCCTTTGGGTTTCCAAGACTGTAAACCTTTATGGGAGCAGAAAGCCTCATCTTTCAGTCACAGAGCAGCTGGTGAGTTTGAACCACCAATTTGTAGACCAACACTTAACCCACTGTACCACTAGGACTCTTAACATTAGGACATAAAAGTTGGAGGAAGGAGCAAAAACCACTGATGATTGTACATGGTTCTAATTCACAACAGCTTATTAGGAAAAAAAAAGTCAGTTCTAAAAGATTTTTTTAAGAAGTGTTTACCATGAATATTAATATATTGTAAACTGTAAAAAAAAATCATATAACCCCTATCTTCTGAAACATCTTCACTTAAAAAACAAACACAAAAACAACCAATAATTACAAAACATATGTACAGTTCAGGAGTTCAGCATATAAAGCATGGCTTCAAAGTAGGAATGTATCCAGAATTCAGAATCTGTCTTATTGTTTAGACACTTGTTTTTACACAGTCTCAAATCAATTTCTCAGTCATTGAGAGCCTGTAATTTGTTCCCTGTGATTGTTGTTGTGTGCCGTGAAGTCGGTTCTGACTCAGCGATCCTGTACAGGGTTTCCAGGGCTGTAAATCTTTATGGGAACAGCCTCCCCTTTCTCCCGCGGAACAGCTGGTACTTTCGAACTGCTGACCCTGGGGTTAGCAGCCTGATTCGTAACCACTACGCTACCACAGCTCCTCCCTGTGATTGTTGTTGTTGTTAAGTGCCATCGAGTTGGTTCTGACCCATAGTGACCCTGTATAGGGTTTCCGAGGAGTGGCTTGTGAGCATGATCCACCAACCTTGCAGTTCAACCGGCTTTGCAGTCTGGCACATTAACTCGATTAGATGTGAATAATAAACCATTTTACAAATCAAATATTTAAACCTATGATTTCATTTCATATAGGATCCTAACTTAAAAACACAAATCAGCTGCCACTGAGTCCATTCCAAGTAAAGGAAACACCATGTATTACACAGCGAAAGTGTGCTCCACAGAGTTTCAAGGCTGTGACCTTTCAGAAGGCAGGTCACTAGACTTTTCTTCTGAAGCTCCTTCTGGTGGGTTTGAACTTCTACCTCTCAGTAGCAATCGAGCACTCAACTATTTGCTCCACTCAGGGACCCTAGATACTGACTGTTGTAAAATGCCATCGAGTTGGTCCAGATTCACAGCAACCCTGTATAAGGTGGGTTTCTGAGAAGACGCTGGTGGTTTTGAACCACTGGTCTCATGGTTGGCAATCCAGTGCTTATCCTACAGTGCCATACCATGACTCCAAGGCACTAAGCAGGTACTGAATATTAATAAAATGCGGTAACCATGAAATGCACTGTGTTGCTGTAAGCTGCGATCACTACCTGGGCTGTTTGAAACACGTGGGATCATTGGTAGAAGATAGAAGAATCCCCTTTGTTTGGATTTAGTAATATCACAGTTAAGAGGCCAAGATTCTGTTCATGACAGATGTTTAACCTACTAGGTTGTTTTGTTGATGTTTTCATTTTGTTTTAATACAATGTCTGATCTCTTCAACTATATTACATTATACATAGTGACAACTTACGGGAGGACACTGAGCCAGTTTATCAGCTGCCACCATCTGGACATTGAGGTGTTTAGCTTGAGATTTCCCTCGAGATTTTATTAACCTTTGTAAAACCTGGAAAAGATAGGCGTTTTAAACAGAGAAAAGAACTGCACTCCGGTACACTACCAGGCAACATTATCCACTGCTTTCACTGGAGCCCCTTTTTACATAGCACACATGGTTCAGAACTCACTGAGCTATAAAATATAATCTATAAGATTATCTGAAAAATTAACATTAACATATGAACCTCTTTGTTGTTGCTAGTTTTAGCAAGATAACGAGCCAGGAGTTTTTTCCTAAGCTAACAGTTCTCAAACTTTTTGTCTCTGGATCCTTTATTTAAAAAAAATATCATTCATGTGAATTTTATTTAATTTTTCTCATATTAGAAATAAATTTTTAAATGTTTAACTCATTTAAAATAGCAACATACCTTTTACACCTTAACAAGTTTATTTATTTTTGTTAAAATAGCTACATTTTTACAAATATCTCTAATGCCTGGCTTCAGAGAAAACGACTAGATTTTCCTCTCTGCTTCTGCATTCAATCTGGTATATTGCTTTGGATGAGATATGTGAAGAAAATCCATTTTTCCTATAGATATGTAACTGAGAAGAGGAGGGATATTTTAATAACCTTTTCGGATAATTACGTTCTTTGATTAATACATCCAAACTCATCAAGTAGCAATTTCTTAAAGGCTAGCTGCCATGCCTAATCTGAAGCCACATAAATAAACCTGGTTTTTTTACTTTAAATTTCCTTAGTCTATCTTAAACTTGAATGCATTAATTTTTTTTTTTTTTAATTTTGTTAACCATGCTTGGTTTGTAAGATCATTCATTGATGATTTGGAAAGTAATAGTTCATTGATTTTTTCAGATCTTCTAAATATTCACACATTAGATAATATTAAAGCATCACATTCGTTAACATTCTTATTAAAAATGTACATATATGTAACTACTAGGAAACTGCTAGGCTCACCAAAGGCAGATTCAAATTTTCTAAAATTGTAATCTTTGGCTGAAAGTTTGAAATTTAGCATTGGCAACAAATACTGTTAGTTGCCTTCCTGGATGTGATTATCTCACTTTGTTCATGAAAATATCTGCCAAATATCCAAGTCTAAATAACTACAGCCTGTCAGCTGGTCTTTCAAATCAAAAAAGTATTCCATGAAAAGAAAGTGGGTAGTTCCTTTCACAACCGAGATTGCACAAGTACTTGTCTTTGAGATGACTATCTTACTTTGATATGCAACAGAAACACTTACTATACACTTCTTAGTTCATTACTCAGAAGATTAAGAAGACTTGTACTTAAGAGTCCAAGGTAATAAATACAATTAATATATTTTTACTACTTCATCAAGATGCTCAATTTTTGTTTTAACTGACAGCGCAAGGCAGTAAAAGCACTCCTAGTCTTCTTTGCTTCCACTGTCTTGATTCATGCTTAGGTGACAATTTCACCCACCATTACTTTTACACCACCAATATAAGTACATGTCAGAACAGTGAAATAGATCAATAATGTCTTGCTATCATTGCGTAAATAGTTTAGACTTCATGGACTCTCTGAAAATGTTTTAAGGAACCCCAGGGATGTATGACCCATCCTTTAAGAATCATTCTTCTAAACTTTTGAGTTGGTTTCAACACATAGCTACCCTGGATAGGGTTTCCAAGGAGCAATTGGTGGGCTTGAACTGCTCACCTTATGGTCAGCAGTCCAATACTTATCCTATAGTGCCATACCAGGACCCCATCCATGAAAGTAAGACTCCTTAATTATTATTCTTATATTAATCTTAACAATTCTTGACTCATGTATATCTCCTCAAACTCTTTTCATCTATCGTAAGGACATGGCCTGCTATAATTGGAAAGCAGAACATAAAACATGTTAGCAAAATTTGATTACAGAGCAAACACTAGAAATTCTTCTTACCTTAGGAGAAGAAATCTTCACATATACTATAATAGGGGCCAAAGAGGTTTTACTAAGTTGAGCTGGATGATTAATAGTGTCCGCATCAAGGACTACCAATTGCAATGTTCTTGCAAGTTCAAAAATCCTTTCAATTTCACTCTGAACTTCCGCTGCAAGGGTTAAACAGAGTTCAATTACTTAACATAATTGGGGGCCAAATTAATATAAATACAATGGTACACTATTTCCATAATCAGAGGTAGGTAACTCAGTGTTAAGATGTATAGGCCATAGAGTTGACACAAGGTGTCCTTGTTGTTGTTGTTGTTATGTGCCGTGGAGTCGGTTCAGACTCATAGCGACCCTGTACAGGGTTTCCGAGGCTGTAAATCTTTACGGGAGCAGAAAGCCTCATCTTTCTCCCGCTGAACAGCTGGTGGTTTTGAACTGCTGACCGTGAGGTTCACAGCCCGATTCGTAACCACTACACTACCAGAGCTCCACAAGGTGTCCTTAGAAAAGTGCTATGTCTCTACAATACCTTCAAGCATTTGGGGAATTGCTGTTTCAATCAGCTATAAAATTTATCTACAGAAGAATACTATGTCTATGAGAGTCAAATTTCTTGGCTGTCTATGCTGACTTATATTTTGTGCCATAAAATTTATGAAATCATTTCATAGAAGTGTTATAAAATAAGAAATGCAAGAGATACCCTTCATGTGTTTGTTTCTGACCACTTCACCCTAGCAACCATTCCCAGTGTTCCTTTGACTGGCTCTGCTTATCTATGTTCATTTGTCTGTTGTGTAAATGTGATAGAGTCTAGATCTGTTCATTGGTTGTGGTGGTGGTGGTGGTTGCGTGTTGTTGAGTTGGTTCCGACTCATAGCAAACCTGTATAGAGTTTCCAAGTCTGTAATTCTTTATGGGAGCAGAAAGCATCTTTCTTCCACAGAGCTGCTGACCTTGCAGTTAACAGACCATGGAGCTGCTGACTTTGCAGTTACAAGACTAATGTGTAAACCCACTATGCTACCAGATTGGTTTATTAATAAGTTGAAATATAAAATAGGAGGGACATTACGAGTGCCTGTAACAAACTTGTCCCCCAAAAAACTTCTCCACCAACTAAGAAACAGTCCTGCAACACAGGACTGTTTGAAAAGGACAGGTATCAATTAGAAGCAGCACCGCAGAAATTCAAACTATAAAATTCATAGAAAACTTGTCATCAAACATCTCAAAGTACATCTAAACACCAATGAAATTATGTCTAGCTCAGCTACTTCTCTGTGATCTCTTTAAAGACTTTAAAGTACAGACAAATAAAACTTTCTGTGATTGTGGAAATATTCTGTATCTATGCTGAGAAGTGCTGGTGGCACAGTGGTTAAAGCACTCACCTACTAATCAAAAGGAGTTCTGGTAGCATAGTGGTTATGAATCGGGCTCCTAATCTCATGGTCAGCAGTTTGAAACTACCAGCTGTTCCGCAGTAGAAAGATAAGGCTTTCTGCTCCCGTAAAGATTTACAGCCTCGGAAACCCTGTACAGGGTCACTATGAGTCAGAATCAACTTCATGGCACATAACAACAACAACAACTAATCAAAACGTTGGCAGTTAGAACCCGCCAGCTGCTTAGCAGGAGATGGATGTGACCACCTGGCCCTGTAAGGGTTTATTTACAGCCTTGGGAACAAAACAGATAGTTCTACGCTGTCATAGGAAGTTGTTATGAGTTAGAATTGACTCGATGGCAGTGGATGCTATTAGTAACCGCTAGCCACATGTGACCCTTGAGTACTTGCTATGTAGCTAGTGAGTAAGCAATTAAAAATTAAGATTTGAACTTAATTTTAATAATTTAAATAGGCACATGTGCTAACGGCTACCATACCAAGCAGTGCAGATCTTGAAGCATATTCATATTGTGCGGCTTGCAGTTGCTGCTGCAATCATGGAGGTGCCCTCTAGGTCAAACTCATCCCTGTAGTTTCCAAGGCTGTAATTCTTTATGGGAGCAGAAAGCATCTTTCTTCCACAGAGCTGCTGACCTTGCAGTAGTCGTTGTTAGACTCACAAAAGGTCTGTTTTGACTCACAGTGAGTTCACGTGGCACAGTAGAGCTGCATTAAGGTTTTCTCAGCTGTAATCATTACAGACAGGCTAAAAATGAGGCTTTCCGCTCCTGCGAAGATTTAAAGCCTCAGAAACCCTATAACAACAGTTATAAGTTGGAACTGATTCTATGGCACTTAACAACAACAGCTATCAATATGGAAGCATACTGCCAGGTCTTTCTCCCACAGAACTGCTGAATGAGTTCCAAATGCCAACTACTGGGTTGGTTGGTTATGTGCCATTGAGTTGGTTCTGACTCACAGCAACCCTATCTAGGGTTTCCAGGGCTGGAAATCTTTGCAAGAGCAGAAAAGTCTCATGTTTCTCCTGTGAAACGGATGTTCAGAGTACCTTTTAATTCCTCTTATTCACTTAGATCCATGTCAGAAGACTCTTGGAGCTAATTTCACTGGTATTAGCTTCAAGAAAAGGCACATCATTAATCATCTACCTCATAAAGTACTACCAGTGTTCTTTACTCAGATGCCTTCACAAAAATTAATCCAAACGACACAGGATATTGGCATTAAAATAACATTTGGTGACATACCATCCATGACACAGTCTTAGCATAGCTCAGGTGTGAACTGCCTAACATGAGGAGAAAAACCTGGACTATTTTTGATATGGTTCACCCCCACCCTTTTATCTTAGAGTGGGCTCTTTCTCTCCCTATGCTACCCAAGAACTGACAGCAATTGTGGACATGTAGCAAAGCTACAATCACACCCTATAAAATCCCACCATCTGAGCAAGAGCCAATACCAGCTGTTATACACAAATCAGGCTGTGAACCGCAAGGTCAGCAGTTCGAAACTACCAGCTGTTCCACAGGAGAAAGATGAGGCATTCTGCTCCCATAAAGATTTACAGCCTCGGAAACCCTGTACAGGGTCGCTATGAGTCAGAACCGACTCCACGGCACACAGTCACCACCACCATACACTACATAGATAGCCAACATTTGTTAAAATTACTCTCAATTGAGTAATAAAAGAAGTGAAAAGGGAAGTCTATCTCCTGATCACATCTGCCAGGAGGCTCTCAGAAAGCTTAATAATACAGCAATGTACATTCATCTAATGATTGAAAACACATCTAATTACTGAAAATGCCCAAAAAAACAAAGATCTCAATTCATGTCCAGAAAGAAGATAGAGCAGCTGAATCAAATGAGTTAGAGGTAGACCTAGAATTCCCATTGGAGGGGTGGGGGAGACAGGGCACAGACTTAGGAACTGCCTGAGAAGGAATTCAGGAGAATGATATTGAGGTACATTCAAACACTCTACAGATAGGTTGAGAAAAATAAGGAAAAAGTCAAGAAAGTGCTACAGGGACAATGAAATGAAATAGAAATAACATTGGAAATAAGTCAAAATCTGCAAAAAGAGGTCCAAGCAATAATAAAATATCAGAAGTGGACATTACACTGAAAAGGCAAAGGAATAGAATTGAAGAGATGGAAGCCAGAACAAGTGAGCTAGAAGACAAATCTCTCAATATTGCTAAGAAAGAAGAACAAGCAGAAAAAAGGATTAAAAAAAAAATCTAGAGAAAGTCTAATATTTCTGTGGGACAACATGAAGAGGAATAATCTGAGAGTTATCAGAGTCCCAGAAGAGCAGGGATTTCAGAAGACCACAGAGGGGACAGTTGAAGAGCTGATGGAAGAAAATTTCCCTAATGTCCTGAAAGATGAGGTGATTAGCATTCAAGAAGCTGAACAAACCCCAGGAATGATAGACTCCAAAAAAAAAAAAAAAAATCACAAAGACATCATAATCAAGCTTTCCAAAATCAAAGACAAGGAGAGAATCCTGAAAGAAGCTAGAGAAAAGAGAAGCCAATCAGGTTCATCTCTGATGTCTCAGCAGGAACATGCAAACAAGAAGGCAGTGGAGGGGGGCTGGGTATATATAAAACCCTGAAAGAAAGAAAAAAAGCCAACCAAGAGTCATCTACCCAGCAAACTGTCAATCAAACACAATGGTATAATAAAAATATTCCTAGATAGACGCTAAAGGGACTTTGTCAAAGCCAACCCAGCACTTCAAAACATCCTAAAGGAAGTTCTTTGGACTGAGAACCAACAAGAACAGACAACAACCAGAGACTGACATATATGGCAACACCAGCTTTCAGTCGACACACAGAAGAATCCAGAACAGAACAAAACGGAACGACCAAATTCAGAGGACCTGAGAGGTCAGCCTATTAGCTAAACAATTACAGTGTGAAAGAAAGGAAAAATATAGGAACAGAGATTCAGGTAGTAAGGTCATCAGGTAGATTGCAGTATAAAATACACTATTTTAAATGGAGGAAAAAATTAATAGGATATAGGGTAACCTCAAAGAAAATTAATACTGCACAACATACCAAGAAAATGAAAATCCAAAAAAAAAAAAACATGAAAACATTAGAATTGTGAAGAAAATGACAAGAAAAGAGCACACAAAAAAAACATGAACTCAGCATAGGAAGGCATGCAGAACAAAGAAACCAACAGCACCATAAGAAACAAATATAATGACAACAATTCATACCTATTGATAATTACACTGAGTGTCAACTGATTAAATGCACCAGTCAAGAGACAAGAGACTGGCAGAATGGATAAAAAAAACAAGATCCCTCAATATGCTGTCTGCATATTGATACAAGAGATACACATTACACAAAAATGCAAAAACAGATTAAAAGTTAAAGGATGAAAAAAATTTCACCAAGATAATTAATAAAAAATGAGCAGGAGTGGCAATACTAATCTCTGATAAAATAAAATTTAAGGCAAAAACCAGCGTAAAAAATAAAGTAGGGGATATCTCATGATGAAAAGGGCAATTGAACAAGATGACATAACTATAATAAATATCTATGCTTCCAATGAAAGAGGCCCCCAAAATATAAAGCACAGTATCATGGGCTGCCAAAAGAACAAACAGATCTGTGTTGGAAGAAATGTAGCCAGAGTGCTCCCTGGAGGCCAAGATGGCCAAACTTTGTCTCTCATACTTTGGACATTTTGTCAGGAGGGACTA